TTTATGGGGTTTCTCTATTGTCTTATTGAGGTAGTGTTATGCACGATGGATACTGTTCACCGACCTAAGGACCGCAGGGAACGGTGTAGGGCAAACAGCAACACATCAACACAGTGTGAGTAAAAAGAGACTATGTCAATTCAACCTTCCGATAATGCACAGTTGGTCTCGCCTTCAGGCCGTTATGTGAGAACTGCAGTGGTGGGCCATGCATGTTATAGCTGGGCCTTCACTGCTGTCCTGCTGCTGAAACACCTCCTAATAACCTCATGATGGCGCCACAGCTTAAATTGTGGGAAATATGATGTTTTCTGCGCTCACGTAGGAGACAACTGGCTGTGTGACCTCTGAACCCGGAACAACAAAAAGCAGCTGAGGGACCGCACGAGGCTACGCTACACTAGCTTAATGGGAAAACAACAGCAGAACACGCATTCTGCTGCACACTGGAGGGCCATTCAGATGTCAGATGTAAAGAAACAAACCAGTTGACTTAAAGACAAACTCCATCCTCCTTTCTTTGTTGACTAAGAGTGTAATCCGGTTAAATCACAACCGACTAATCAGTTTCTCCTCCTTCAGCCATTGAGTGTTAAAAAAACAAAGCTAGGTAAAATAATAATAATCTACACCAAGCAAAATGCAAAAAATGTCATAATTTCTTCCATATCTTTCAATTTGAACTCTCACTACTCCGACTAAGCCTCTGATGGCTACTTTAAGTTTCGTTTCATGATAGTCACGTGCTCGCCCACTGACCAATCACAGCACACGCTGCACCTCACTGCAGAGCTGCACCTGGACACTGAGCTGCACGTAATGCTGACGTAGCTATAGGCCAGCTAGCAGGCTCTGACACGTCAAAGAATACGCCCAACATGTCAAACTAAAGACCTGATTGGTTGAACACTATGACAATCAACAATATCGTCCCCATTCACTTAAAGTGCACATGGATGCACTTGTGAGTCTGCAGGCCTCTGCCTCTGTTCTTACCTAGAGACACAGAGGTGAAATCTGATTGGATGAAAGCTCGACTTAAAACAAGCTGCACTGGAAGCAGAGCAACTGAGGAAGACAGTAGCTGTGCAATGAGAACATAAGATAATGGGGAAAATATGTTTATGAATTACAATACATGTAGTGTATTTATGAAGAATTATTAAATTATAAAATAGTTACAACTTTGTGATTGTGTTTAGGCCAGCAGAGAAGGCCTTGCAGGCCCTGACGGCCCACCACTGGAGAACTGTGACGGGCAGGAACTCAGTCTGGACCATCAGCCGCTCTAGTGAAGTCTTCTGAGCCTCCACTAGGTGAAGCTGTTCTACAGCACACTGTGTCAGCCTGCTTACACGCACCTCACGGCTGCTCCAAACCTTAAAGTTAATATACTATACAGATATAATATAATATACTGTACATATTAGATGAACTGTCAGCTATCAAACCTACGGCCCACAGACAGAGCTTGGAAAAGGGTGAACTTGCTTAGTTACTCTCAATTCCTCAATGCCCATGGAATCATGATTATGATTATGACAAACACTCCAAGACAGCCTAATATTATTGTTTCACATAACCTTAGACAGCACCAAATACTGTAAAAAAGGATTGTCGTACGGCAATTTATTTGTTTCTGAATCTGCAGGAGAAACGGAACATTTCCCCTGAACTGCTGCGTGTCTTTAGTCAGTGGACACTAGAGCAGGTGATCTTCTTTTAATAACAAATGTAATAACTAATGTCATATTTTTTCACTTCCATTAACTGAGCCTCCCCTGAAGCTGTTCGGAGCCCCCCCCCCCCCACACACACACACACACACACACACTTTGAACTTGTCAGATGTGAAGGTATGTCATACATAATCCCTTTAACAAATAAAAAGATGGATTGTCTTAGCGCCTATTGGGCATGCCTAGAAATATGTGTTGCATATATGTTTTACAGGAAGTCGATGCACAACTCATTACTTCATCACAGCGTTGCTGACAGGCTCTCATGGTAACAATACTCCAAGTCTGTTTCAGTACAAAGCGAGGACACAATCCTGAACTAATGGGACGGGCTGCGCTGCTTGATGTTCGTGTCGAGGTTCTTTTCATTTTAAGAAAACCTGTGAATGACAGCAGCCCGTTGTTGGTCAATATTTCTTATATTTCTGTGGTTTACTGCACAGCAAACTGACAGACAAGTCATTTCAGTCAGCACTGTTATTGCTTTACCCCAAACACCTGATTTTAAAGTAACTTTACAATAAAACACCTCGCAGAAAAAAATGAATGAAATGAACTTCAGCCTCAGAAGGAGGCCTTTACTGAGGTACTTTGAGATAGCATGATTTGCATAGAGAAAAAGATCAACTTTATTTTTGAATGGATAATTAAAAGCTGCTCCAGACCTTCCTATCGCTGATGTCCTACCCAGAGCTGATGACTCTTCACTGAAGAGGAAGACTATTGTTCTGAGACTGAAAGAAACCAAATACAAATATTCAGTCGCGTGTACTCAACAAAGAGAGAGGCTCCGTAGCTGAAAGCAGAGATCTGTGTGATTGTTCTTATCGTTATTATTTTTAGTGAACAGAAGCACACCTCGGGTTCATGTTGGAAAAGCCTTTTAAAATGAAGCTCAAACTGCTTCTTCAACATGAGAGAACCAGTGCTGACCCTGCTGATGATGATTGATTTGCTTCAGCCAAATGATATATCCTACATCACAGTAAGCCTTAATTGTAGGGTCACTGTGGTAAATGGCAGCCAATTGTAGGTTTGCTAGATATTGTGTTTACAGTGCAGCGCAGACATGCACAGAGAGTATGATAGTTATTCACTTAGAACAACATTTTAGAAAGTGAATATGTGATTTAAAGCTTGTGCTTTGCTTCTGGATACCATTAGGGTTCAAAAACACATTGGAGTGCAATATTAAAGAATAAATCTGTAAAAGAATAAGAAAACTAATGTGTAGATAAAAAGAGGAATGAATAGAGTAGCATGTAAAGAATATACATAAAGAAATGTGGAAAGATTGAGAGGAATAAATAAAAGAATAATTAAGTAAATAAAAATGAGAAAATAATGAATAAAAGCTGAAATATATAGACAAATACATGATAAACAAGTAATTACAGAAGAAGCATTTTCATTATTTTCACATTTATTTGTACATTCATTTTTGTGTACATTTATGACATATTTTTTTAAATACATAAATTATTTTTCATCCTTTTATTTCGTCAGTGATTTGGCTTTTTCCTTATTGCCTTCGCTATTCTTTAAAGGGCCAAGCTGTCAATCAACTGCTGTTTCAGAAGGGTCTTGCAGGCTTCAAGACACGCCCACTTTCCTACACGACACGCCCCCTGAGATCACTTCTGGGAGTCACATCCATATTTTGGCTCAAACCACGACGTTAAAGTTAGCTAAACCGAACCGAGTAGTTTTGGTGCCTAAACGCAACTGAACTGCACCTTTGGAGAGGCGTGTCATGTCGTACTGTGGAACCGCAGGTAGCTACTTGGAAGCTTTGGCGGGAAGCTTTTTAGCACGGACAACAGGAAGTAGACGCGTTGCGTACTTTAAGTTATTGTGAGTTCTTCTGCTGTCCTTATTTACGGCCCTGGTTGGAAGGCCGAAGGCTTTTCTACATTTATTTTTGTTCTTAGTACGGTAATAGCCAGCTGGAGCTCAGCACATTGTATTAGATATTTCTTTCAGGATGGACTTGACAGCAGCAACGCTGGCTGTACAGTAGCGGGTGGAGTCTCGGCTATGCAGCAGCAGTGTCTGTGTGACAGACAGGTGTCCTCTTTCTCTCCATCTGTAAGCAAACGTGAGACGTGACGTGAGGCATCTCTGTGCCCTCCGAGGTCAAGATGGCGCTCATCAACCAACACGTGACAATACGGGTGACAGGTCCCAGTGTCAATCATCAGAAGATGACCTGTAGGTTTTACACAGAGGTGGTGTTACCTGTTGATATCTCCTGCTGCAGCAGAGCATTGTGGTCAATGCTGCAAATCAATGAGTCGGGGACTGCCTTATGCCAATATTGAAATTTTATATGATTTTGGCATCAGTGTGATAAAGTAGCCTGCATTGATTTAAGATAAGAAACATCTTCATAAATCCCTCTGAACATTTTTGAATTTCTGCCATTTCTCCTGCAGGATTAGTCAGAAACAGACAGTTTATCATCTTTAATTATCATGCAGATCAAAATGAACATCGCAGGAATACACAGACGACAGTCACTCACTGACATTGCACTCGCTCATAAAGGATCAAAGAGTTTTATGAATCCCATAGTTGTAATAAAAGATTAATGGTTAAATCTATGCAAGAAGAACGCTCGTGTTGTAAAATGAATGTTCACTTAAAGCAAACAACGACCACGAACAGTAACTTATAATCACAACAGTATGCATTATAACAGTGATTATGATGCATTATGTAAAGATTATAATGTATTACAACTATGGGTATTATGATACACTGCAAAACAAATGTCAGTGTGTGACCAGAAATGATACTTGACCTTATAAATAAAAATGAAATGCTTTATTATAGGTTATGATTATGAAGCACTATGAATGTCTATGAGTGCTAATTTATTATAAATCTGTTTATAATGCATTGAGTGCCCCTGATGTTCTTAAGAACAACTAATGTTAATAATAATGATTGTATTATTTATCATTATTATTATTATTATTTTTTTTTTACTATTTATTTTTTGCATAACTCGCAGTGAGGTCTCGTCAACTTTCTAGCAGAGCAGCGTGTGTGAGCAGCCGGAGGCTGAGCGTCTCCCCCCGGCTCTCGGCTCTCGGCTCCCGGCTCTCGGCTCTCGGCTCTCGGCTCCCGGCTCTCGGCTCTCGGCTCCCGGCTCTCGGCTCCCGGCTCTGTACTTCTCCGTATTGACGTGTTGTTAGCAGGGGGGGGGGGGCTGATCTCTGCCTCCAGAGGTCATTCTCACCACAGTTGCCACTTGTTGCCAAAGCAGCGCGGGGGCTCCACCGTTCAGCACCAACACATGCTAAAGTGGTTTATTCCGCAGCTATCGAGCCCTACATGTCTGCATGTTGAATGCGGAACGTTACCAGCACTGAAGGAAGACTCGCGTGATCCGGTTGACAGATAATTTGGGATAATTTGACGGAGAGCAGCATGGTTGATAACGCAAGTATAGCAACTAAATCTGCGTTGGTAAGCCTCCAGTGGATATTTTATTTGACTTAACTTCTTTACAGTTCAGCTTGTCGCTTTCATAAACGCTTTTGACGTTTTACTCACAATGTCACGCACCTACAAACTTCGTATTCGGACAGTTTAACCGTGTTTTAGCCATTTAGTGCAAGTTTGTCACGTTAGCTTGTTGGCTCTATTTGAAAATATTGAATCCTCTTAATACAGCGCTAAAAGTCAGAGACCGAGTGTGTGTGCAATGAGGCTAAATGTCAAAGCGTGTGTTTAATGGTATAAAATGCCGGTGATAATCATGACCCGACCATCCTCTCGCCCCCCTTGCAGCAAGGCTCGTTCTCGTCCGCCGGCAGCCTTCCCCTCCAGGCTCCCTCCGCCTCCTCTCACAGCGCGTTCCCCGGCGCCCAGTCCCACCAGCAGCAGCCCGCCGGCGGCGGCATGAAGCTTGAAGCCGTCATGGAGAACCTGCAGCGGCAACAGGCGGCGCGGCTGGCCCTGGAGGAGAAGCTCCGGCAGGCGGAGACGGAGAAAGACCTCCGCTCCATGGTGGAGTCCCAGATACACCAGCAGGCGCTGGCTTTCCGCCACTACCAGGCGGCGATGCGCGGCGCCCTGGCCGCCGGGGTCGCCATCTCGTCCCCCGGAGCGATGCTCCGGGGCGCGGAGGTCCGCCGAGCCGACGAGGACGGGAACTCCTCCAGACCGGGCAGCGACGATAGGGAGCGGGACGAGGAGGGGGACGACATGGAGGAGCAAGAGATCATGGATGAAGACGAGGAGGGCGAAGGCGACGTCGGGTTGAACCACTACCAGGACCGGCAGCCGTCGCTCCACGGAACTTGTCTGCCTCCGAAGGGCACCCCGATGCATCTCATGGCCAGACTCCCGGCGGCATTCACCCCGGCCCGCCGCGCAGAGTCTCCCTCGGCGCACCCTCAGCCCCAGCACCACGACTGGACCTACGAGGAGCAGTTCAAACAGGTAAGACCACTTCTAACCAGCGCCAGCTCACGTCCCGTACAAACAAAAGCGCTTCTTTTGGGAAATGATTTAGTTCGTGTTGTTGTTGTGTTGTGGGCTGCTTTCTGAAGGGACACACAAGTCCGTGCGTGTCCGTGTGTCAGTCCTGTCAGTGCTCACACAACCAGCGTGTCTGCACAAATGTTTTCAACCAAGTTCTGTAAAAAGTTGAAAATGGGCTGGAAGTTAATATGAGGCAGGATAAAGTGTGACTGATAGCTTTATTAATCATAAATAAGTCATTTAGGAATGCTTAAGATGAACAGGTTGTACAGATGTAAAGATCCATTTATTAACCAGCTTTATTTGACACACACCTGCAGCTGTGTTATTACGGACTATGAGCAGTCACTCAGCCAAACCATTATTACAAACACATTTCTGGTTGCCAGGTTGTTGAGAAAGGCACCCTTTCAGTCTGGTAATAATACAGTTATAAATGTAGTAATAAGTTATTAAAACATGGATTTTAATCCTTCTTCCAGAATCATTCGTCACAGGGATTTTGTTTTCACAAGTGGTTCCTATTAATGGTTTATATGTAGAAAGCTTTAGTCAGTTCTATGTTAATGAAGCCGTTATAAACCCTTAACGACGGGTTGTGTGAATGACAGCAGGCCGTCTGATGGATGCTGTCTGTGCTTCCAGCCGGCAAGCAGGCGGATCCATACTCTGAGCGACGGGATGTCATGTCTTATTTATGACGGATCATTTGCAGACTTCCCCAAATGCGATGTGTACATTAGTGACTGCATTAGCGCCGCACATTAAAGCAACCCGATGCATGGAAATGCAATTTAAATAGGCGGGGGGCTGAAACCAGTAGCCTCGACACAGAGACGGAGAAGCTCGCCATCCAGTTTCACTGTTTCTCTCTCGGATTCCTTTATGGTGGCATATTTGGCATTACTCTTGTGCATGTGATGCAAGTGTTCCTCGCTCAAGTTATCACGTTACGAGTGACAGAAAAGCCTCAGCGGATGGATTTAAAACCCATCGTTTTAGCCTGCATGTGTTGCAGAAAAGTCTTTTTTCCATTAAGACAAAGTTCCCCGTGGCCCGTACATGCAACACCAGGGCCGCACGCTTCAGAGATTCCTCAGGATGTGCAGTTATTGTGGGGGTGGGTCATCTGTATGTAGCCATTCAGCGTAATGGTCACGGGGACAATAAAAGGATGCTTATGGCTGCTCGGCAGACAGAGTGGAGCCGGCATGCTAAGCGTGCTCAAAGCTGCAAAACAAAACCACATTTGAGGGCAGTAAATGCATCTTTGGAAAATAGGAACAAGATGTGGGCTAAATATAAAAAAGGGCCTCACCGGACTTGGACGAGGACTTTTTAATCTGATCTGGACCAAGTGGGACCGGCCGGTTTACAGTGGCTCCTAAATCACCTCTGTAGAGCTCAGGATCAACAGGGGAGGGCATACATATATATATATATATAT